AAAAAAAAAAAAAAAAAAGAAAGAAAGAAAGAAAGAAAAAAAAAAGAAAAGGGGGAGGGATATAAATGGACTGTTCAAACTTCCGCTTAGTTAGCAGGGAAGCTGGAACTAAACCCAAACTCAAAAGCCTGAGATTGTTAGTGTTTTCTGAGAGATGCTGATAAGATCTCTCCCAAGTATAACAAATTTGGGAGCATATGGAATCTATATGCTTTTCCAAGTTTCTGGTCTCCGTCTTCCACTTATAAAGGGTTTACATCTCCCTTGGGGCTTAGAGGATGTGAAAAGATCTGCTTTCTGTCCTGGGAGTTCCGCCCTGAAAGCAGAGTAAGGAGACTGGGCGGGTTTGGAGGGGCAGAGCAGGGAGCTGAGACCTCTGGAGCGGAGGCAGAAAGAAGGAAAACCAGGAGATCTGGGATCAACTCCTTATGTGCTGTAGCTAAGGAGCTCCAGATGCCCAGCTCCATGTGTGCTGTTCCTAAGGGGCTCCAGATGCTTTTGACCTGTAGCTCTTGTCCCTTTGCAGGACAGGAATACGAGGATGAAGAAGAGCTGGAAGAGGGTGATTACTATCAAGTGGCATATTATTATTACACAGTTACCCCTAATTATGGTGCGTACGTGAAAGGATCTGAGTCTTGGTGGGGTAGGAAGAGATTTGGGGAATACTTAATTCAAAGATTGCCCTTCACTTTGCAATAGAACAAGAGGGTCAGACAAAATTTTGGCTGTGAGCAAAACCTACTGAGACTCTTGGTATTCTTTCTCAAGCCCGTGATTTTTTTTTAATTAATAACTATTTCATGCTGGGCAGTGGTGGCGTAAGCCTTTAACCCCAGCACTCGGGAGACAGGGGCAGGTGGATCTTTGTGAATTCAAGTCCAGCCTGGTCTACAGAGCTAGTTCCAGGACAGCCAGGGCTACATAGAGAAATGCTGTCTCAGTAAAACAAATAAACAAACAACAACAACAAAACAAACAAACAGGAAACAAAAAGAGAATTTTATGTGTATGAATATTTTGCCTGTGTGTGTGTGTGTGTGTGTGTGTGTGTGTGTGTGTATGTGTGTATGTGTGTGTGTGTGCACACCGCGTGTGTGCCCAGTGCCTATGGAGGTCAGAAGAGTGCATTGGATCCCCTGCAACTGGAGTTCCAGATGGTTGTGAGCAAAGAGGTGGGTGCTGGGAACTGAGCTCAGGTCTATCTGCAAGAATGGCCAGTGCTCCTAACCTCTCCACTGTCTCTCCAGCCCCTTAAGATCATGATATTTTTATTCTTTGGAAAATGTCTGGAGCAACTTGGAAATTTTTCAATTTGTAAATTACTTTAGATACTACATTGACAATATAAATCTATCTAAAAAGATTTATCCAGGCATGGTGATGCACATCTTTAATCCCAGCCCTTGGGAGGCAGAGGCAGGTGGATCTCTGTGAGTTCAAGGCCAGCTTGGTCTACAGAGCAAGTTCCAGGACAGCTGAGGCTGTTACACAGAGAAACCCTGTCTCTAAAAACAAAACAAAACAAAACAAAAATATTTAGTTTTCATTATTCTAAATTATGTCTATTGGAGGGGTGTGTACTTGTACATGAGTGAAGTTGCCATGGAGATCAGAGGTGTCAAATCCCACTGGAGCTGGAGTTACGAGAGATTGAAAGCAACTCAGTATGGAGTCTAGATTAAACTCAGGTCCCCTGAAAGAGAAATACATGTTCTTAACTGCTAAGTCAGCTCCAATTCACAAACTTCTTTTTTCTTGTTTATTTATTTTTATCTGCATTGGTGTTTTGCCATGGGTGTCGGGTCCCCTGGAACTGGAGCTACAGACCGTTGTGAGCTGCCGTGTGGGTACTGGGAATTAAAGGGAATTGAACCCGGGTCCTCTGGAAGAGCAGTCAGTGCTCTTAACCGCTGAGCCATCTCTCTAGCCCCACAAACTTTTTGTTTGTTTTTCACACAGAGTTTCTCTATGTAGCCCTAGCTGTCCTGGAACTTGATTTGTAGACCAAGCTGACCTCAAACTCACAGAGAACCACCTGCTTCTGCCTCCCAAGCGCTGAGATTAAAGGCGTGCGCCACCACCGCCTGGCCTCACAAACATTTTTCACACTAAAAATAACGAAAAGTAGATCGTACCAACACCTTTTACAGCTTAGGTAAGGTCACGTATTCTGAGCATGAAGTATTCTGAGCAGTGCCTTCCCCTTTGATTCTTTTTCTTTTTTCTTTTTCCTCTTCTCCAGATGACTTTAGTGTAAACTTCACTGTTGATTACTCCATGTTTGAGTCGGAGGACCGGTTGGTGAGTGACTTCTCTATCTAAGAGGGTCAGGACCAATACAGTCAACAGAAGTGCTGGGAAGTGCTGAAATGTAACAGACTAGCAGGAATGGAAAGCAGGCTGGGTATGGCAGTTCCCTTCTACAACCCCAGCACTTAGGAGGCAGAGGCAGGAAGGTTGCCGTGGGCTGAAGGTCAGCCCGATCTACAGCAAGTTCCAGTCCATCCAGGACTGTTGAGTAAGGCTGTCGGAGGAGAAAAAGAAAGTAAGTGAGAAGAGAAAACCTGGTGGATAGAAACGAGGACATGGGTCCCAACCGGACCTGTTAACTGTGGCTGGGTGAAGGAAGCCAGAACATAGTGGCCTTACTAACACATGAAGAAGGGGCAGGCAATCAAGGGAATGCTGAATGGAATACATACACAATCCATGCTAGCGCTGGGCCCAGACAATCCCTCATCTTCAGTTTTAGTCATGTGGGCCTGGGGGTGGGGTAGGAGGCTTGCTTGAAGGAAAAGATGAAAAACCCTAAATAGAGCGTCTGTGGGGACGTTAGCTGGAAGAACTAAAAACTCTTTCCCAATCCTGCCGAGGTCAGAGCAGGCTGCAGAAGGAGGTGACAACAGAGGCCGTAGAGACCACCATCAGTCTTCAGACAGAACCTGTGGACCAGCAGAACCCTGTAACAACGAGACCAGCGAGACCAGCGAGACCAACGAGACCAACGAGACCAACGAGACCAGCGACAACAGAGCCAGTGAGTCAAAGGGGGGATGGATGAAGGAGGAGGGAGACACGATAGCTCTTGTCCTGACGGATCTCAGGCCTACGGACCCTGAATGAACAGGGCAGCTGTTCGTAGAGGGGAGAACCGCACAATGAATTCTTCCACGTAGGGACTCCATTTTGGTTTTTGTTGCTGTGCTCAAACACTGACAAAAACAACTTGGGTTCATTTCATCTTCCGACTACCAGGTCACACTTCGCCACTGCAAGGAGTCAGGGCAGGAACTCAAGCCAGGAGCTGAAGCACAGACGTTGGAGACACACTGCTTCCTGGCTTGTTTCCATGACTTGCTCGGCTTGCTCTTTTATGCCACTTGCCCACCGTGGGCTGGCTCCTTCTATATCAATCACTAATCAAGAAAATTCGCCGGGTGTGGTGGCAGATGTCTTTGATCCCAGCACTAGGGAGGCAGAGGCAGGTGGATCTCTGCAAGTTCGAGGCCAGCCTGGGCTACAGAGTGAGTTCCAAGACAGGCTCCATAGCTATATAGAGAAACCCTGTCTTGAAAAACGAAAAAGAAGAAAAGAAAAAGAAAAAGGAAGTTCCCCCAAAGATATTCCCACAATCCAATCCGATGGAGATAATTCCTCAGATGAGGTTCCCTCTGCTCAGTGACTCTATTTGTGTCAACTATCCAGGAGAACAGGTGTCACACTTGGGCCATATCACATGTGTGGAGGCCAGAGGACCGCTCTGGGGAGTCAGTTTGTCAGGCTTCAGCGGTATGCGCTTTTACCTGCTGAGCTGGTCCAGATTTTGTTTTTAGATACAACTCAAGACCAAGACTAAACAGCTTCTGCTGGTTAGGTGTTCTGAAAGGACGGACGATTAGGAAGAATAGTTACTACGAGAGTGAAAGCTGCTGAGGGAGGGAAGCGGAACAGACAGTTATGTCTGGTGATTGGGGTACGACAGAAGGAACGTGTGCAGAGGGGAACAGTAGGAACCTACGATATCTACAAGGGCTGGGCTGCAAAGGAAACTCAAGCATTAAGTTTTTGCCATGTGGGGTTGGGGGACAGGAGGCTTCCTTGCAGGAGAGGGTGATGAGGAGAAAAACTCGAAATAAGCCACCTGTGGGGATGTTGGATGGAAGCCAGACCAGCCTGAGGGACAGAGCAAGACCCTATTGGGGGAAAGAAAAGGCCAGGCATGGTGGCACATGCTTTTAATCCCAGCACTCTAGAGCCAGAGGCAGGTGGATCTCTGTGAGTTCCAGGCCAGTCTGGTCTACAAGGCAAGTTCCAGGACATCCAGAGCTACATAGACTCTGTCTTAGAAAACTTTTTTGAGCAGTGAGCTGGCTCCTCAAATAAAGGTACTCGCTAACAAGCCCGAGGACCTCGGCCAAGTTTGGTCCCTGAGACCTGCTTGGTAGAAGGATACAAGAGATTCCAAGAGTTGTCCATTGGCTCCCACACATGTGACATCCCATGCCCTCCCACCTAAATAGATAAATGTAAAAAACTGCACAAGTCCTTTCGTTTTGTGTAGTAATATTATATACATCAAGTTAGGGAAAAATAGATAGTCTGAAATGTTGGGCTGGACTTGAGGCTGATAAGCAATAAGGAGCCTGGTGAGGACTGCAGCAGGGTGAAGACAATGGAATCAAAATTTAGGAAAACTCTTCATCTGGTTATATGCAAGATGCATAGTGGAAAAGTTTATACTGTCCCAGAAACACCTGCTAAAGGGCCGGACTAGGAGAGTGGCGCATAAATTGAGAGTAGAGAAATAAAGTTAGAAGAAAATGCCTCTCTTCAGTGATAATTTTATAAAGGAGAGTTAAGATAACTTACAGATTTTAACCATGTTTGGAGAGGACCAGAGAGGTGGCTCAGATGGTGAAGATGTCTGCCACCAAGATGATCTGAGTTCAATCCCCAGGTCCCATGTGATGGAAAGAATGTACCCGATTCTTCAAGTTGTCCTCTGACCTCTGCATATGCACACATACACACACACCAACACACATGTACCCAGGAGACAGAAACAGAATGTTTGGGGAAATGGTTAGCCAAAATGGGAACTATTGGAGACCAGAGTGGCTTAGGAGGGAAGTGATCATTTTGCCAGTCCTGTGGGTGTCCTGAAACTGAACTAGATCAGTAGAGACCTAAGGGCCAAGCTATAGTTGTGAAAGTAGGAAGGCCAGTGACTAAGTCAGTGGAGGAAGAGAAATCAACCAAAGAAAGGGAAGAGGCAGGCAGACAGCCAACTTTGCATTATAGGGACTAGAAGAGAAAGCTTGATATAATCACTCAAAAGCTACCGAGAGCCCAAAACCTATCTCAAAAATAAGGAAGGCTTGTGTAAGGTGCATGCTTTAATCTCGGCACCCAGGAGGCAGAGGCAGGCAGATTTCTCTGAGTTCGAGTCTAACCTGGTCTACACAGTGAGTACTAGAAAAGCTGGAGCTATATAGAGAGACCCTGTCTGAAAAAAATAAATAAATAAAGAGGAGAGAAGAGACTGGGATGTAGTTCAGTGGTAGAGCCATTGTGTGACATTTGCAAGGCTCTGGTTTTCATCCCTATGCTGGGTGTGTGTGATGTTGAACATTATGAGCCACCTAAAAATAAAAAAAATAAAAAAAATAAGAAAAAAGCCGGGCGGTGGTGGCACACACCTTTAATCCCAGCACTCGGGAGGCAGAGGCAGGCGGATCTCTGAGTTCGAGGCCCGCCTGGTCTACAGAGAGAGAGATCCAGGACAGGCACCAAAACTACACAGAGAAACCCTGTCTCGAAAACAACAACAACAAAAACCCCACCGAACACCAATGGCTATAAGAGGCAAAGGGAGCACAAAAGCAGCCGGGAAGCAGCGGAACACAAATGGGAGCAACTGGTCAGCTGGGCAAGCAAAGCCTGACAGCAAATACCCCACCCGTGTTTTACATGTCTAGTGGGTTCTCTAGAGACGGTAAGCCTCTCCTGAGCACAGGAACTACGTCTTATTTATAGCCCCCCAAAGCACCCAGCACAGGGACTAGCAAAAAAGCCATGTACACAAAAGATAAAACATCGAATGTCATTGAGAGTCGTGGCCTCCCAAGTAGGAAGAATTCTTGCAGTGATGGGGAGGAGGGCTGAATCTCCTTTCAGAGCAGAGGTAGGGGGGAAGGGGGTTCGGGTAAAGAAGTGTCTGTCTTCCTGGAGGTGGGGTGGGAATTACTAGGAAGGTGACAATGACCTATTGTGTGTGTGTGTTGGGGGGTGTTTTAGCAGAGTCCAGATCAGAACGATGCTGTGTCCAGTCTGCAGAGTGCTGTGTCCTGTCTTCTCTTATGGACCCTCCTTCAAGGGGGGATGCATCTTATGTAGAAGGTAAGAGGCCAGCCACTGGCTTTTTGGGGGTGCTCCCAAGTAAATCTTACCAACCTGCTCAGTTCTCCTGTGCTTAAGGAAAGAAACAGGATCACATTTAGAAATATCGAACCATCTAACCTTGAAGAAATTTGTAATAAATTGAAACAAAGACTTTTGTGATGTCATTTTTTTATTCTAATCTGGAAGGACTTAAGACCTCCCAGGAGAAGGCAGGTTGAATGAGGAAGACTTTCCCAAACCCCCAACAAGACTGGAAAACCAGAGCTGGTTCCACTCTGGCCAGGTTTGAAGTTATGGCAGGTGCCAGAGGTCAAAATGGGTGTGTGCTACAACCCTGTAAGAGCCAAGAGGCAAAGTTCAGCAGGAGGAAGGAAGCATGAAAGGGACACGTCTTTCTCAACAAAGAGTGGAGATCCCATCTTAGAACATGAACTCTTCGGAGTCTGCACAGAGATGGGAGCGAGGGCAGACTTCTTGGCCTCTTGTTCTTGTGCTTTGGCTTTATTGTTTTTAATTATGTGTATGTATAGAGGAGGGGTGTGGATACAGGAATGGGGTGCTTAGGAGGCCAGAGGCACCAGAGCTCCGGGAATGTGGTTACAGGGGTTTGGGAACCACCTGGCATAAGTGCTAGGAACTGAACTGAGCTGGCGGACTGTCAATTGTCGGTGGTGGCACATGCTTTTTGTTTTTTTGTTTTTCTGTTTTTCGAGACAGGGTTTCTCTGTGCAGTTTTGGTGCCTGTCCTGGAACTCGCTCTGTAGCCCAGGCTGGCCTCGAACTCACAGAGATCCTCCTTCCTCTGCCTTCCGAGTGCTGGGATTAAAGGCATGCGCCGCCGCCGCCGCCGCCGCCGCCGCCGCCGCCGCCGCCCGGCCAGCACATGCTTTTAATCCCAGCACTCGGGAGGCAGAGCCAGGCAGATCTCTGTGAGTTCAAAGCCAGCTCTGGTTTATAGAGCTAGTTCCAGAACAGCCAAGGCTACACAAAAAAAATCCTGTCTTGAAAAACAAAACAGAAAGCAATGTGTTTTCTTAAACACCAAGTCAACCACCTGATCCTGTTTTTATGCCCCTCCCTCCAGGTGAGAGAAGGCTGCTACGACTCTTCAGACTAGACTTTGGCAAGAAGTTGGATGAAAAATAAAGTTTAAAAAAAGTCTACTTCTTAATGATGGTTTGTTCTAAAGTCAACACTGACATGTACACCAAAACTTGGGGGGCATGAAGGGCAGATTAGAAAGAGAATTAGAAATCAGTGTAGTGGCGCATGCCCAGCATTCAGGAGGAGGAGGCAAGCTGATCTCTGAGCTCAAGGCCAGCCTGGTCTATAAAGAGAGTTCCTCCGGGGCAGCCAGGGCTACGCACAGAAACCCTATCGCGGAAAACAAACAAACAAACTTGAATTACTCGTCAATTAATTGGCAGGAATCATACCCTGTAAATAAATCTAGAGTTTAGGGTAGAAAAGAGAATACTCACAGGTAACAGGTTTCTAATGGTCCCATGCGGCTCTGGCTGGTCTTGAACTGAGCTCCTGTGTCCATCCTCTAGGATTACAGCAGGAGCGAGCCATCATACCGAGATTAATTATACTTTACTTGATATTGTCTTGAAACTTCATGTTTGGGAAAACAGTGCTGAGGTTTAATTTAGAAACCCTTTTTTTCTAAAATAACCATATTGCTAAATATAAGTAAAAAGTACTTGAATATATTTAAAATAATCACGCATTCTCCAATTCCCAACTTAAATCCCTGTCCAACTTTTTCTTTTAGTAAGAATATGCATATAAGAAATGAAAATTCCTGTCTGTTCTCCCGACCCTAATCAGAACTAGAGTGCCCCCTTGCGATGCTTATGTTGTCTTCAGCCTACAGGGTCCTGTTCTTGGTTGTTTCCTTTAACTATGACATGGTGAAACGGATGTGAACGTCTGTTGGTGACTCTGGACTGGCTCGTTTCCTTCCTCAACGTCTTTCCAATAAACCGGAGCCAGATAAAGCCATTACCTTGAGCATCAAGGATCTACTCTACTCTGTTCCCTGTGCTGAGAACCAGAGAGTTCTGAGTTGAAGGGTCTGAAAGGGCCCGGGGCAGAAAAGTCAGGGACGAGTTCGGCTTTGACCCCTGGAGTCTTGGCGGGCTGGCGTCTGAGATGGTAACGTGCGTGGCAGGTTATGTAAGAACCGGCTGAAGAAGCCGCTCGGCGGGAGCCCCGGAGAGGACGCGGTGTTCCGGCTGCAGTCCCCACCCTCCTCGCCCAGCAGGGCAGGAGGCACCCAACTAGGAGGCGAGGAGGGGAGGATGAAAGAGTGGGGAGTCACGAGGGCGAGCCGCCGCCGAGGGAACGGATGCCCGGCGTCACACGCCCGTTGTCACACACGTTGCGGACACGAGTTGCCGAGGGCTCCCACGTGCTGCGCCCGTGCGCGGAGGCGCTCGGAGGGGCCCACGTCCCCCAGGCACCGCCCCCATGGCATGGTCTCGCTCTGCGCACCCCAGCCGCGCCGTCTCCCGCGCAGCGCCGTCCTATTTAAGGCGACGAGCTCCACCCTTTTTCCGCCCCTTCCTTCATTTTCACTTTTTTTTTTTTCCATCCTCCTTTTTATCACCGGAGGAGCCGCATGTACGGGCGGAGCATCGACTGCTTCCCTCCCAGCCAATCCCCGCTCGGCTGCCTCTCCATTGGCCGAGCCCCCGCGGGCGGTGGCAAATGGGCTGTGAGTGTCTGTGTCTGGGGTCACGTGTTGCCGGCAAGCTGACCAATGAGAGCACCGGGTCTGTGTACGCCGGGGGAGGCACGTGCAGAGCCGCACGTGTCTGGGAGGGGGAAGGGGCGGGACCCACGGAGTGAGGCGGAGGTGGGTCGGCCAGACCAGCACAGGCACAGACCGTGAAGGAGCTGGAGACCGCACCGGGGCTGAACCGACAGACCCAGGCGAGCCGACCAGAGCGGAGGAGCGCTCCGGAAGACGGACCCGGACCCCGGACGGAGAGAGTGGGCTTGGGAGACCGCAGATCTGAGCGCTGAGAGGAATTGCATCACCTGGAAGGCGCGAGCGCAGACGGACCGGCGCAGGGCGCCTGCCGGTGAGGGATGCGAGAGCTATGGAGATGGGTGTCCATGGGGGCGGTACCCGTGGGGACCCTTAGGGGGGTTTGGTGCGCAGATCAGCCACTGGCGGGTGGCGTTTTAGGTCGCTAAGCTCACTATGAGGTCTGGAAGGGAACAGCCCAGAACAGCAGAGGCAGGGGAAGGTGTCAAGTCGGGTATTCACTCCGAACCCAGAGGGAGAAAGGCTGTGTGGGGTCAAGAGCTCTGTGTGGGCCGGCGGTCCGGGTTCTGAATGGGGGTGGAAAAAAGCAAGTCTTTTTGTTTCTGTTGAGGACGGAAAAAATCGTGTTCAGAACGCCCCAGTCTCCCAGGCCCTTTCCAAATCCTTGGACTCATTTCCGACTCCCTCTCTTTGCCTTTCAGTTGCAGATTCTGATCTTTGGTACTACGAGAGCTGCTCTTCAGCCCCTGCTCCTGGGCCTATGGATTCTCCATCTAGCATTTCTTCTTATTCCTCCTCCTCTCTCTCCTCGTCATTCTCCACATCCCCTGTGAACAGTGACTCTGGCTTCCCCTCTGATAATGAGAGGGAGGGCAAGAGCACCCAAGGGCTCAGGCCAGACGCTGTTGGGCAAAGGGGAGGCTCCCAGCCCAGTCCAGGCCCTATCCGCTGCAGACATCGACCCAGGACTTCTAGTAACCAGCACACAGCCTCTCATCTGGAACAGAGAGGACCTGGAATCAGAAGATCAAGAGACGGTGAACTGGAGACCGGTCTGCACACCCGGGGATGTAACACAGAGGGAGACCTGCTTTTTGCTCAAAAGGTAAGAGAGCAGGAGACAGTAGCGCAGTGGCAAACACCTTGGTTGGCTGCCACATACGTGACAGCAGAAAAACCACTGCTGGCCCCTTAGTCTTTGTGCTGTTTTCCTACAGTGTAAAGAACTCCAAGGGTTCATACGGCCCCTCACAGATCTACTGAATGGACTGAAAATGGGCCGCTTTGACAAAGGTAATTAATAACCTGATTGATACATTTGCGGGGGTGGGGTGTGTGTGGTAGCTGCCCTCCCTGTGTGAAATGTGCATGTCTCTTAAATCTCTCTTTTGGCCCTGGGCTATTCCCCGATTGCACCTGTAACTTAGTTTCTTTGGGTGAATCCATTTTAACCCCCATCTGTCTGTCTGTACCTATCCCTCAGTGCCCACCTCTGCTTCCTCTCATGCTGGGGAGAGAGCCTCCTGCCCTGTGTACACTAGACAAGCTCTCTGCCACCGAGCTACACCCCACACCCTCTGATCACCCCCTCTCTCTCTCACGGTAGGATTGAGCAGCTTCCAGCAGAGTGTGGCCATGGACCGGATCCAGCGCATCGTGGGGGTTTTACGGAAGCCTCAGATGGGGTAAGTCTCCCTAATTCTTCCTTCCTCTCCTCGTGTCGGATTGAGGGAGACCTGTACAATTCTCCACATCTCTTTTCTCATACTTGATGACGTCTAAAACTATCCTGTTTTCACAGAGAACGGTATCTAGGGACCTTGCTGCAAGTGGAAGCGATGTTAAAGACATGGTTCCCTCATGTGGCTGCCCAGAAGTCATCCTTAGGAGGTAGCAGGCATCAGATAAGCAAGGTAAGAACCTAGAAACCAAGGAAGCCATGGGAGAAGAATCCAGAAATGGACTGTGCATGGAGAAATGTGTCCGTTCCCCCACCCCCCCAAGGAAGGGAATGCCTAGTTTTGTGCAGTACTGTGATGTTTAGATTTAGCCAAGGTGCTGGTTCCGTTTTGTTGGGATCCACAAAATTTACCCCACCTTCCTGTGTTGGCTTACCTGCTTCCTGAAGATACTTTTGAATCTGGCCAAGTGACTCACACAGGAAGAGGCCTCGGTTCTCTGTACAACTCTGTTCTTCCTTGCACCCTCAAAAGACAGGAGTCTTTTGACTCCTGTCAAAATATTCTTGGGCAAACCTTATGTGTCTATAGGGGGTTTCTAGTTCTGTTTGTTTTGTTTTTCTTTTTTTTCAAGACAGGGTTTCTCTGTGTAGCTCTGGCTGTCTTAGAACTCACAGAGATCTGCCTGCCTCTGCCTCTTGAGTGCTTGGGTTAAAGGCAAATGCCACCATGTCCAGCTAAATCAGCTATAGGTTTTTGTTGTTTTTGTTTTTTCTTTTTATGGTGTTTTGCCTGCATGTATGACTGTGAGGGTATCGGATCTTCTGGAACTGAAGTTACAGACAGTTGTGAGCTGCCATGTGGGTGCTGGGGATTGAACCCAGGTCCTGTGAAAGAGCAGCCAGTGCTCTTAACAACTGAGCCATGTCCCTAGCTCCTCAACTAGTTTTTAATGATGTGAAAATAATTGACTGAAAAATAAGTAACAGGATCATGCCTCTTGAAGAACTAAACATGGAAAAATGAGGATTTTCAACACAGAAATTCACTTACACTTCTCTGGCTGGGGTGTGGTTAATTCACTTACAGGTCTCTGGCTGGGGTGTGGTTAATTCACTTACAGGTCTCTGGCTGGGGTGTGGTTAATTCACTTACACTTCTTCTCTTAGAGTGTTCTCCAGCCACATGACAGGCTGGGTTTGATTCTCTTAACACCACAAGAAAATACTAAAGAGAAATGGAAAGGAATCGTGTGCGTAGTGAGAACTGAAGCTTTATCTTGTCCGTCTCGGGTAGCCCTAATAGCATGTGTGACACAAGAGTCCACCTCCCAACTGTTTGTTGAATAAATGGAAGCATTCCTTGCTAAAATTTTTACTTAATCATCACCTGGCAGGAACACACCTGTTGCACAAAACAGTGTGTGTTTGCACTGCACAGTGGGTTCTCAAGGCTAGCAAAGGTCCCGGCTAAGGGGGGCTAATCTGTAAGCCTCCTCACCCGATGTTTTTCTCCTTTCCCCACTCTCCAGCACTTTCCCAGCCACCAGAGTGACTCAGCTGCTTCCTCTCCTGCACCTCTCGTGGAGAAGACGGGCCAGACACAACCAGGACATTTCGTTTTGAAACCAGAGCAGCCTTGGCATCTTACAGAATGGCCAGCGATGAACCTCACCTGGATTCACAGCACTCCGATTTGTAACCCTCCCCTCAGTTCCCTGGGCTCCGCCTCCAGCCACAGTTCCTCAGGCTCTGGAGGCAGCATTGGTGTCATCCTCGTCCTCCAGAAAGGAGGCCAGCCCTTCACCCGCTCCGCTCCAGGCACTCCCGTCCCACCAACAACGACGGCGACAACCCTGTCTCCTGTCACCCCTGGTGAGCTGAAGAAACCGTCTGGAGATGGAGAGGGGCCTTGCTGCCACAGTTGGCCAGCACCGCTGCCTTCAGACTGCAGCTGCAGCCTCTGCCCCCCTGTCCCACCTACCACCGTGGGAGAGGTGACAGCAGGACCCCGAGACCCACAGATGAGCAGCCCTCCTGCAGCTGCCCCAGCCCTCAGCCCCTAGCCCAGGCTTTCAGCTGTCCTCTGACCTCCAGTTTGTGTAAATATATGTTTGTGGTTTTTGGTTTTTTTCTTTTTTTTTTTTTACTTTTAATGTATTTGTGGTGAGGAAAAATAAATCCTTTCTGATTAAAGACATTTTTTACCTAAACACTGCCGACTGTGGTAAATTGAAATTCAGCCTTGAATACCATAAATCTTACCCACTGGGCTTCTGAAAAGAAGAAGGGGACAGAGTGTTGTGAATCCGAGCTCCACAGGGCCGAGCCTGACTGGGAAAAGACAAAACCTGTGAGGGGCACTGTGGCTGCTGCTTCCACAGGGAACACCCTTGGGACACCTAAGAGGTTCAGACTGGAGGTGGATTTGTTGTTACTTTTTTCTGTCACACTCAGAAACTAGTGCCCTTCCCTTTGTCTCTCCCCGTGGAATCTTCCAGCTGGGCAGACAAGCAGGTTCTTCTGCTCGGGCGCAGCCCTGCTTTGATGGGCGCTGTTGATGCTTGGGGGTAAATGCCTGTGTAACCTGCTGCTGCCTCCAGTAGAGCCAAAGCCAAAACAGCCACGGGGGCGCCAGTGTGGAAGAGGGCATAGTGCCTTAGGATTGCCGAGGTCAGGACAGGGGCACTCAGACTCGGGGCCTTATCCTTACTGGAACAGTAACCCCGGAACATAAAGCAGGCCATGGAAAGCTATTCAGGTGTCACTGAGTGAAGTCCATGAATGGATGGATCGCTCCCCTTCTCTGTGTCTGTCTTTCTGATTTGTCCCAGTTTCCAGCAAAACCATTTCCTCTCTCACCCTCAGCCTTTTGAGTGCATCAGATAGCTCTGTCACCCCAGTCATTGCTTCTCAGCTGCTCAGCATGCTTCTCACTAGTCAGACAGTTTTCTCCCAGTTCTGGTAAGTAAATCACCTCCCTTTATTTCAGAAAATATGGCCTCCTTTCTAAGGCAAACCTTATTTGCGTAGCTCCTGCTGGCCTGGAAATCAAGGTGATTCTGGTGCCCCAGGAATTACATGTGTGTAATTCTACCACTCTTAGCTCTATTTGTGATTTTGATATACACACACACAATTTTTGAGACAGGGTCTCACTATGTAACCCTGATTGCCTAAAACTTGCTACACAGACCAGGTCTGCCTCTGCATCCTGAGCGCTGGGGTTAAAGGAGGTATGAGCCACCCTATCTGGCTCCTTTTATTTATTTATATTTTATGTGCTTTGGTGTTTTTCCTGCATGTATGTCTGTGTGAGGGTGTTGGATCCTCAGAACTGGAGCCACAGACAGTTTTGAGCTGCCATATGGGTGCTGG